AATATGTGGTCGATTAGGCCTCGCTTGTTGCAAAGCTCTAAAGTTGAGAAAATAAAGTTGTCAATACCGACAGGACTTTTGCAACAACCTAATACATGAAATGAGCACATTCTTGTAAAGTTATATAAAAATCCATAAACTCATTCTGTAAGTGCAGCAGCTTATTCTAAGTGGGGTTGCAGCAGGCCAGTGCAACTGGCTGCACCCAACGCAAACAAGAGGGGAACCCATTGTTCCCCTGTTGCAGGAGAGAGTGTACAATGCTGTCTGGATTTCTACCAATTACCCGTGCCTGTGTGCAGATTGATGGCAGGTGCTTTGAGCACCTCTTCCAACTGTGAAACAGGTAGGAATAGTGCACTTTTGGTCTGATGGATGTCATGTCAGCCATCATGTATGAGTCACATGACTAAATTTTGAGGTATGCCCTGTAAAGTTCTGGCTGCGCAGCCTTAGGGCTGTCATGCTCTGAATTACCTCCAGTATCTCTTGAACCAATGAACAGATATTGTTATAACTTAGCATGCATATACTCCTTTGACGTGGTAGTCAGCCCTCTAAAGTGCACAACGATATTCTGAACCAATTACAAACAACTACAAATTGAAAAATATGCCAAAATTTTAAAGAACAAAGTGTATGTTGCACCAACATATGCCTAACACTGCCAGTATTAGCTTAATGTTAGTTTAAAGCAAATTATAGGATTAATTTTTTTCTCTTCCTTTCTAAGCTTAGTCAGCTTTAATATCCCAGGGTGATATAATAGTTTTGTCAATTCATGCCATCCTGTGACTACTCTGATCTTTCTGAATCGCATCAAAGCATAAAATTCTGTATAGGACAATCTATGCTTTTTTTTTCATCATGGCATTGTTTTTGCCCCAAACCTTTTATTCATCCTTCTTATCATGATCCTTACTGAAAATTGCATGCAAGAAGGCATACTTAGGTGCATGAAGTTACAGAGTTGTGTTCTTTCTCCTGAACAAATGAACCTGGTTAATGAATTTTTTTTGGTTGGAATTTACTGTTTTAGGGAATTATCTGATGTGGAATGGGATGAGATGTTGTTCAACCTGTGTTTCATGGATGTCCTGAGAGCATGCTTGGTAGTCAAGCCCTTGGCATTCTCAGCTCAACACTGGGACCTACTCCAATGTGCTATTAGTTCCTGGGTCATCTCCCTTGACAAGACCTTTGCCCTTGCATCCAGTGAGTCTCTGTACTGTGAGAAATATGCTTTCAGGTAGGCCTAAAATCACTGGTGAGAAACTCAGGGATGGAGACCAGTCATAGGAAATCTGAGATAGACATTGCACCATCCTGTCCCAAGAAATGGGACAGGATGCTGTGATGTGAAGTATGCAATAACATGAACCTACATTTGTCCAGCCCCATGGCTCTCAGCAAGATTAGTGGATTGATGACTGAAACTCAATGTAAATTTTGAAATGCAAAACTGTGTGCTGTGGATGGTTCAAGAGATCTTGAAACCAATGGTACCAAGTTGTCTGCTGATGCATGTACACATTGCTCAAGTATTTATGCATTTATGATAATGAGTTTGTTATGAACCAGTGAGTTGATATATGCCACTTTTTAGAGCTTCCTTCATCCTTCAACAGGTGCAGAGGGAAGCTTGTCAATCCCATTAGCACTGTTTCTCAAAAGCACTTGCCATATCACAGTTTCGTTGGCCAGCTTCATGGCACATTTAGAGGCAGAGTCTGAGGTAATTGGTAAGGAGGTACCATCCAATCTCCTGTCTGAGTACAAGGAGTTCTTCTCTCCCCAGATCTTCAGGGTTCTCCTCCATCTATTTCACATCACAGGAGGTAAATCAAGTCATTCCTGTGTCCTGAGTAATATGTATAGTAGCAGTTGGTTTTCACCCATATGTAGACCCTATTCTGAATGGGTGTTCATGCTTTTTTTTTTTCTAACTCACATTTTTGTATGTGATTATTAACTCATCTTTGCTTCTGTATATACCACTTACAAATAGGCTGCATAAAATAATTCAGGGTAACCTTGTATTCCAAGAATGTTTAAAAATTTATGTGAGTTGATATTTTAACCCCCCAAAAAGAAACAACTCCATGTGTCTTCAATCCATGACACAAAACAGCCATGTGCAAGGTGCTCTTTCCATCACAATGTGTTCTTTTGGGTAGTATGTATGCATGCTTTCCTTGAACTGGATCTAGGCACATTTCGTGAAAATTGTGATGTGGAACCATGGATATGCCTTGGTGTGTTGGAGCCGTTGAGTCAGGTGGTGTGCCAGATGCCCAAGGAGCTGGCATTGAGCCATGGACTACCACCTCGGCTGTCTAGCAGTGGGAGGGCAGTCCTCTCAGATCACCTGGCTAGCCTCCTCAACCACATGAGTGTCCTTCTCACCTCCTCTCATCGGTGTCTCCAGCTTGCAGCCTTCTCTGTCATTCACAGGTGAGCATGTTCTGGAATCACTCCTTCCCCTTCTATTACAAAGATTCCTCTATGAAGTGGCCAATACTTGTGAAGTGTATATATACGTAGTAAGGTCCAAAAGTTTCCGGCCCAAGGATATAAAAGATGTGATAAAATTAAACAACCATTTTTATTTTTCAATATAATCTCCCTTTATTTCAATACATTTTTTAGAACAATGAATTAATTTTTTTATTCCATTACAAAATTATTCTGAATTTTTGTTCTCAAAATGGTTCAAGACTGCAGAGATCACTTCTTCATCACTGGCAAATTTTTTCCACGCAAATCAGACTTCAATTTTGAAAATAAAAAATAGTCACTAGGGGCTAGGTCGGGGCTGTAGGGTGGGTGATTTAGTTCTTCGAAACCACAGTGCTGAATAGCAGCCTTTGCAGCAA